TGACTTCTTTCCCATTCACCTTAGCAGGGAGATTTTTGCCTTATTTTTTATTTGTAAATAAGTCCAAAACACATCAGACAATAAAATCTGGGTAAAACAACAAACAATCCTTTGGAGGAGAAATAAGCAACTCAGATAAATAAATCATGTCATTAGTTCTACAGCATGTGCACCCAATCCAATGAAGAATATCACAGTCAGGGGTGGAAAAACAGATTAAATGAGCTAGTTATCTTAAGACAATTGCTATCCAAGAGACGGTTACATCATAAGAGATGTGGCACCAACAGTAATCTCCATAGCACTTTTGCTAAGAGTGATGATTCTATGGAAACAAAAACTAAAATACTCCTATTTTAATAGAATGAGATGAGCCCTCAAGGGCATATTTTTCTTACTGTGCTTTCTTATCCTAAAGAGTTATAAAATTTCCTTACTACTGTTCCAAAATATAGCAAGGTTGTGATTCCTAAGCATAGCATATGTTAAAGAAAACTAAATGCAAACGGCAGATAAATTAGCAGGTTTTTTTACCTCTTGAATTATATCTTTGTCTTCATGTTCATGATCCCATTCTGGAACCCCATGAAGTCATTATGCTATTTTGTGGTTCAGTAATTAACTGTCAGCACTCTTGCTGAAAGATCTTTTACCCTATATGCTTTCTGGGATTTTTTCTCTTCCTTCACCTCCTTTTTTTTTTTTTTTCCCCCTCCTTCTCAGTGGCCTTTTATTATTCACTGTAGTAACTGGTGACAAACTCTATTTTGCAGTTTAACATAGCATCCATTTGCTGAGTCAGCTGGACACTGTCAAGAAAGCAATATGAGGACATAGTTTGATCTTAGTTTTTAACAACAAGTTCTATCTAGCTGAAAGAAAACAGACTAGGAAATAGCAGGAATCCCTGTGGTTCAAGTAAAGTGAAAACAGTTGCTCTAATGAATCCCACCCCTTGCCTCTTCAAGACCAGATTGTCCAGTTTACTGATCAGTGATTTGTGTCATTGGAGCTGAACTTCCTTCCTTCCAATCTGACAAGGGTGGGATGCATTCTGGTGAACAACAACACATCAGCCAGTAAAACTGAGGTAGCAATACCCTCCAGAATACAGGAAACTCCAGACTGGGAGCAGTAAATGTCCTTTGGCACATGCGTGCAGCCTATTTTGTCACTAAAAGGGACCACTCTTGCAAATAACCCCTTTCACATCCCACAAATAACCTGAGGATAATCCATCTTAGACAGCTACCACATTTTGCAAGTGAACATCTGTCTGTGCTCTAACTTCATAGCAGGTATAAATGAAAATCAAGCAGGAAATGAAGAAGGCTTGATTCAGTGTAATTCAGTCACTGTAGGAGTTTTCCTGGTGAATACTCTTAAGTGCTTTTTCTGTCTTTTCCTCTGAGGAGACAAAATTTCACCCTAAATTATGTTCCTTCATTAGCTGTTCTTATGCTACAATGTGTCTCTTTGGGCCCTGCATCAAGTGTTGATTCATTTCTTTCGCAAGAACACCTTGACTGACAGGTTTCATATGGACACTAGCAGTTGTATAGGACAGGGCTGGGAGTGGTCACCTACCAGCTTTAAAGCACCAAGTGGAATCTATAATCTGAAAGCACAGTGCAAGGCGCTCTGCTGCTAAAACAAACTCTGAAATTAAGACCCTAAATCTGTGGTTTCCAGTGCTCTTGGTTATTCTAATGTTCCTTGGTTGATTGGGTTGGTTTTGGTTGGTTAGTTGGTTTTTATTTCTTTGTTTTTGCAATTGTCGACTCATACATTTTCCAGAATAGTATTTGCCCTCTGTAATCACAGAATCATAGAATCATAGAATCACAGAATGGCCTGGGTTGGAAGGGTCCTGAAGGATCATGAATCTCCAACCACCGCCACAGGCAGGGCCACCAACCTCCACAACTGACCAGGCTGCCCAGGGCCCCATCCACCCTGGCCTTGAACACCTCCAGGGAAAGGGCATGCACAACCAGAATCACAGAATCACAGAATAGCCCAGATTGGAAGGGATCTCAAGGATCATGAATCTCCAACCCCCACCACATGCAGGGCCACCAACTTTCCATTTAATACTAGACCAGGCTGCCCAGGGCCCATCCAATCTGGCCTTGAACACCTCCAGGGTCCGGGCATCCACAGCCTCTCTGGGCAGCCTGTTCCAGCACCTCACCACTCTCTCTGTAAAGAACTTCCCCCTGACATCCAACCTAAATCTTCCTTCATTCAACTTAAAACCATTTCCTGCCAGAAATAATAATTAATAGTAGTAACAGTAATAACAGTAATAATAATTAACAGTAATAATTTAACATGCATTAGGAGCTGAATTGCGTCTTAAGGTTTCTTTTCTTTCCAGGCCTCATAGCAGTAAAGCAGAAACCCTGACATACTGAGGTCAACTTAAGCAAACCCTCCTGACAAATGTACTGCCCCAGGCCACTGCCAACCAAGGTAGAGGTGCTTCCCCCCACAGTCACAGCCCTGGCCATGAAGAAGTGCAATTCAAACACCAACTGCTAAAGTCTCCCTTTGATTGTTAGGAGCACTAAGTGAATGTGGGCAGCTGTTTTCTGATTTCTTAATAGTTCTTTTGGGTTTTTTTCATCCATTCTCTGCATTCATGCCACCTGCACCACCAAGAGCTGGGCATCTGACTTGCAGTTTTGAACATCATCTTTCTTGATAACATTTGCTGCTTTCTCTCCTGGCTTATGGAGGTTAGCTGAGAGCCCAGACCAAATTCTTTCTCAATAGCTGCAGCTCGGTTTCACTTCCAAGCTTGCATGGGTACTCCTCTTAAGAAAAACGACTGTTAGCTCAGCTTCATGCCTGTTGTATTGTCCAGTCATCTTCATTGTTAAATTCCTGTCGTCCATCAAACCCTATTCACTATTGAAATGAACAGCAAATTAAAAGAAACAAAAACTCAGCACAGTGCTACACAGAACTGGAGCTAGTGTGTACAGAGGTGGATGAAAAATCACTGAGCCCTAATAGTGCTGATGGAGCTGCTCTGCAACTGTTCTGGTTGAACTATTCCATCCTTCCCTGCAAAAAATGAAAGATGGAAACTTTAGCTGTGCTAATGACAGCATGAGCAGGTACCACATTCAACCATTACAGTGTGCTGAAGGATGTGAACATGCTTCAGACTTCTATTTATTCCAAAGGTGATTTCCAAGTTGCCAGGTCCCTCACACTGTAGTCTGTCACCAAATACAGAATGTATAGTGAAGTCTAATGAGGCTTATAGTACCTGTGAGCTTGTGAGATATGAATAAAGTCTATCATTTTCTTATGTACATATTTTATTTCAGAGACTTGGACTATCTTTTTTTTTTTTTTTTTTCCTTCCTGATTTAGTATTGCTGTAATGATCTCTTTTTAAACTTTCACATCTTTCCATGTCAACAAGTCATATAAGTTACAGGTGGACAATTAAGTCAATGCCTATTCCTATCAAGAATTATGCAGAATGTTAGTCATGGCATGGATGTGAAATTAAGCAACACACATCTCCCTTTAAAACCCTGGTCACCTTTACTTTATATATTTAGGCTGCTTATCATATTGGCTGAGAACAATGGTAAATTTTTAAGTGTATTCACACCTCCTCTCTCTATCATGCTTATGAAATGCTGAAATGGGAAGTGATTCACAGTGTGTGATGGCTTTGCTGAATCACAAGAGAAAGTTATCTAGAGGAAATCAAACCAGAAACTTTTCTCCAGGGACATATGAAATAGCACTCACCAAATCCCAGTGGAAACACAAATATTCAAATCAAGCATTAGTCCTTCAGGTTGGTAGTAACATTCATCCGGGGAATCAGTTTAGATCTAGTCTGACATTAATTCCTGGAAATATTTGCAATATAGATATAGAGACTGCAGCACCAAGCCCTCCCATATTCTGATCTATACAACTGCTCAGCTACCTTGCTAATGCAAAAATAGCAACAGAGGCATCTACACAAGGACCAAATGCTGAAGTTTGGTGGGTCCAAATATACTGCATGAAAGGATATACTGGGAATGCTTTAGTGAAGTTTTTAAAAAACGGCTTTAAGTCTCCACTTGTATAACAATAGAAGAAGTATAGATACTAGTAGAAAATCTGAGCCTCACTATTCTAAAATGCTCTACAGATATATAGTAAGGAGAGTCCTTTTGGCCTCTAATTAGCCCAATCTGCACAGCACGAATAAGGCAATCAAAGAAGCGAACCAGAAAAAAATAAGTAAATAGTCATCAGACAAGGAATAGAAAAAAAAAAAAGAAAAAGAAGAAAAAAAAAAAAGAATAAAAGGAGGGGAGGAAAACAACACAATAAACTAGTGGCTCCTGCAGCACCAATTCCAAAGCAGCAATGCTCCATGGGCATCGTAGCAGAGATGTATGCTAAGGAGGGATGAATGCTGTGGTGAAGTCACAGTATTTGATCATTTTATGGACTTACCAAAAATGCTGAGGTCAGAACAAGAAAAAAAAGTCTCCACTTCCACACATTTAAATGTATCTTTAAAACCAGCAAGAGGCTACCTGTTGGCACTGTGGGCACAAGACACCGCAGCTCAGCACCTGGGAAGTGATTTACTCTTACCTTCTTCTCAATGCTGATATAGGAATAAAATTGCAGAAGTTCTTCCTCCAGATGGGACTCACAGTTTTCTGCACCGCAACCTGTAAATTGTGACTGCAGTCCTGACCTCATGCAATAAGTAGTGATGCCTAGAGGTTGGTTCACAAATGAATGGCTTTCACTAATAAGATGCTCTTAGCTAGGCTCCTAGATTCTCATCATAGCCCTTTCCTTAGGATGCACAGAAAGGATAGAAAATCCTTCAGCTTCTACTCAGCATAGGACAGGATGGGATGGCATGGGATGGGACACTGATGGTGCAAAAGGACAGAAGCAAAGCAATCCCTCAGGCATACGCATTTTCCATAAATAATGAAATGTCTTTGGTCTTGTAGGCACAAGAGAAATGGACATCCTGCCAAAAGACCTGCAGGGACTGTGCTCCTTTGAAAACCCTGTAACTGAGGAGAGGGCAGAGGTAAGTCTCCTCTTACCAGAACTCATACTTAAAATCCACGACACTGAATGTTTGATGAGTGCAACTTCCTCTATAAGGAGGGTATTATGATGAGAGCATTTCACATAGCAGACTCTGTTGTTGTGAACAGCATTCCCTTTAGTGCTGCTGTGCCTCTTCCTTCATATCTGAAAGCCTGGTGCCCACCTCCTCCTCTCTGCTCGAAATCTGCACACAAGCAAGATGGGAAAACCAAGAGCTGCAAAATGCTCAGAGAGGTTGCCCTTAGTGGTAGCCTTGTCTGGTTGAGTTACTCATACTAATGAGAAGCTTGGGTGGAAAAGGAGTGATGGAGGTATTCCTTTTTCTTTGTTTTTCTCCATATAATCACATTCATCCCACGTGTTTTTAAAACAGCAAAAGAATTTGTAAGAAAAATGTTGGGAGTAGAAAGGGAGTGAATGGGCAATGTGAATTCCAACAGAGCTGAGACATCCATCTTCAGGGTAGCTGGCACTGCAAGACATGAAGCATGTGTAAAGACAAAAACAACTGAAGACTCTTATGCAATTTGGTACTATACAGTTTGTTTTAGACTTCTCTAAGGACAGAGGATTTTATTATAGTTAGTTAAATTTAGCCCAATAACTAATTCTTCTGTTTAGAAAAGCACTGAAAGAAAAATCTCAGCAAGTAATTATCTTCCTGTGGCCTATGAGTAAAACCTGGTGTGAGAAGTGCAGGTCTGCTAGCTCTAAAATCTTAAAGCCAGTGGTGAATAATCAGCTAACATCAGTAAATGCAAAAATTTGGGGTTTTAAATGAGAAAACTTTGAATGCAAAACCTGTTTTCAAAACTCTTTCTTAGATTTCTTTCCTCATGTACTTGCTAGCATAATTTACTTTTTTTTTTTCTTTTTTCAAGATCAAGGTTTTCTGCAGTTTTTACTGAAGTGCAAATTCTATCCAAAGGGGCTGGACACCAACCTGACATCAAAAAATGTCACATTGCTAATAAACAAGAAATACGAATCCAAATATATGTGCTTAATGATTTAGCAAATTTAAGGTTAAGTCTATACAAAGCATCAAATCAGCATGCCATCACAGGTGCCAGTCCATGAGAATCTGCTTTACTTTAGGCAAATAATTTACCACACAAGCAGTAAAAGTATGGATCAAATTGATAATTCAAAGCAGTCAAAATGAAACTTTAATGTTACGTTAAATCAGATATGTAAATCATTCCAACTGTAGTTGGAAGGTGGAATTGCACAGGCATTCCGAGGTATTTTGATTCTGTGACTGTAAGGACTCTGCTCAGCACAGTATAGCTTCATGCCAGCTTGAGAATCTCAAGCAGGACCTGCACAACTTCTGGGAAAGCTCTGAGCAGCCCCTAACATTCTCTGGCTGAAATTAAGGCCATATTTCAGGAAAAGGAGGAAAAAGTTCAATGACTTTGGAATGTAATTTGTTTTAATAAATTAATTCCGATGCTGGGAGTGAAACAACACACAGAATAACATCTCACTTAACACTGATTACTCCTTAGTTTTAGAGAAGATGTCACAATTCTTAATAGTTGCCCCCCACTACAGGAGGATATTTAGTGGCAGAACTTGGTCAGAAGGAGGTTGAGCTGGCGTTACCACTGGTGCAACATGAGCAGAATCTGCAAAATGCCATCATGTGAAAGTCAGTAAAGACTATGAGAGTATATTTACCAGTGTGGAAGAAAATTAACTTAACCATAGAAAAAGGTGAAGCACTGAAATTTTCATTATTGACTTGCTAACTATTAGTAGAATAGAGAAGCTTAGTGTTTGAGACAGAAACTATATGGAATAGTGGAACAAACTTATTTTCTGAGCTTGAACTTGCTGAGAGAGAAAAATCTCTAAGATTTATTCTGTCTGTATCTGAACAGTCAAATGGGCAGTGTTATTTTCACGTAAGAAAATCATACGTTTTAGATTAACACTGTAAATAATATTGCGGAGTATTGCAGATTTAGTTGCAATATTTTGTTGATACCAAGAGAAAGCGTTTCTTTTTTACTTTCAACTGTGTACTTATTCAACTTGGATACCCAAGTTATCATAAAATTCTCTTCACTTTCACCAGACTACTAACAAGAAGTAACAAGCATTGCTTAGGTCCAGGCTGCACACTTGACTGTGTGGTTCAAGTAAATGGAAACTGCACAGGTTTCAACAAAGCATGGGAAATTCTCATGTCTTGTAGATAATGGCTTTCACTACTGAAAGGATGATGGGGGTCTCAAAAGAGGATAGGCAGTAAGCAGATGTTATACTTGATGCTTGTCAGAAGGCAAAGTAATATGCTATTCTGAAAGAAAGAAAAAATGTGATCCTTCCAAAGAGACATTGCATGTAGCAGGCTCAGAACTAGCCAAGCTGGGCCCACTGTGAAACACCACAATGCTTACTAATGATCTTGGAGTTCTGTTGGTTTCTTTCTTTTTTTTTTTTTTAACAGTTAAATTCTTCTGCTTCTTCGTTATGCCTAAAACACATCCTGTTAAACTTGCAGCTCTTGGGGAGTTCAGAATATCATGTGCTGTATTACTGAGCCTTTCCTGCAGCTCCCAATTAAAAAACAGAGAATGTGTATGTGTGTAGGAGTAGCATAAACTGCAGCTGGTTTTCTTTATTTTTTACACCATCGTTACTGCTTACTGGTAAAAAGGAAGATGATACATGAATACATCACTTGGTTTCTCTGCAACACTATTGCACATGAAGTTGGGAGATTACTTTGGTGAACAACTCCTAACTACAACAGAACATTTATGACTACTAAAAAGGATTAGCAGTCATGTACTGGAGATAGAAAACCTGATGTTTCTCTTTTCTTGGTTTTATGAAAGATTTTATTACCAAAGGACCTCAGTGAGTCCAGGCACTCTGGAAAGATTAATTAATTTTGCTGATCAGCTACTTAAAAAAAAAAAAAAAAAAATCCAGACATTTCGAAGGTGCAACTCCTGCCCTTCATCCTGCCTTTTATGTCACTGCCATAAATGCACTGTGGCTTCAGATTTTGCAGATGACTGAAAATGGCAGAGGACATCTGGGGAAAGGCTGTGCCCCAGAGGGCAGTGGGCATGGTACAGCTCCCCAGGGCAGCGGGCACAGCCCCAAGCTGCCAGAGTTAAGGGAGCATTTGGACAATGCTCTCTGACCTAGGATTTGGGTTTTATGTGGTCCTGTGTGGAATTAGAGATTGGATTCAATGGTCCTGGTGGATTCATTTCAACTCAGAATATTCTGTGAGTGTATAGAATTAAAGAATCACAAAATCCTCAGAGTTGGAAGTCTAGTCCAATTCCCCTGCAATGAACAGGGACCACCACCACAGCTAGATCTGGTTGCCCATGGCCTTATCCAGCCCCATGAAAATATCCAGAGATGGAGCATCAATCACATCACTAAATAACCTGTTCCAGTGCCTCACCATCCTCACGGTGAAAGACTTTTTCCTTATGCCTAACCTAAATCTACCCTCTTTGACCTTGAAACCATTTCCCCTTGTTCTGTCACCACAGACCCTGCTGTCCCCTTCTTTCCTGTAGTTCCCCTTTAGATACTGACAGGCTGCAATCAGGTCACCTTGCAGCCTTCTCTTCTCCAAGCTGAACAGTCCCAGCTTTCTCAGCCTGTCCTCACAGGCAAGGTGTTCCATTCCATGGATATTTTTACGTCCCTCAAGGCAAGGTACATGCCAGTTTGAAAGAGTAAAATAGTCCCTCTTCTGTGGATGAAGTTCTTCCCAACCAGCTCATGCTAGCCCTGGTTTTCATTGGCCTGGTCACTGTTGGAGTCCAATTCCTAGTGGAGTCAGTGGAGCTAGGCTGGGCAATAGAGAGGGGGATCCATCCAAGGTATGAGCCCTATATATAAGCTCATAGCTAGGAGTTCACTGGCAATTACAATCTCTGCTAATATTGCTCTTGAGTATGTCTTCATATCATGAAAGCAACATTACTCCAAGAAGTCAAGGGACTTGTCAGTCATGCAGAGCAATCATAGCCATTATGCTTGACCTCTGGCATTATAATTTTATTCATGTGGCTCTGCCTGGAAGCTGTTGCTTAGCTGTCAGAGGTAAGCAACAAGATTGTCACACCATTAGTCTGTAAAATGTGTCTACTAAGCTTCATTTCCAAAGACAAATAAGACTGCCTGCTCAGGCAGCATTTGAGTTAGACAATAAAATGCATAGCAGTTTCATAGTGCAGAGTAAGTTTTCCATATAGAACAGTGTGTATTTTTAATTAGCTGGCCCATAATCAGCTTGTTCTTTCATCTCATTATTGTTTCATTTTGCATGTTTTTCCTTCTGATGATTGAAAAATGACATGAAGCTATGACCCTGGCTTGCTGAAGGAACAGTTGGCCCACCAGCCGGCCATGGTTTAGTCATTTGGCCTCTTCCCTTGTTAATTCAAGGGCAGATCTGTAGCAGATTCTGATACTATAGTTGTGGGTGGGGGCAGTGAATTTCTTCTCTGAGCATTATCCAATTCTCTGTGACTTTCTATGGACTTCTAGGTGGGCGTGGTTTACCCACTTACTGATTTCAAGTAGTCCCACCTGTCTTGAAGAGATTGACAAGGAACACCACTGCAATGGAGCCAGAAGGAGCAAGTATCCAGCCTCTGACATAGGGAAGTCTAGTTAAACTGTCTGGAGAAGGCAGCTTCTGCTGAAGTCTTGTATTTTAATGAGCAAAACTTGCAAGATTAAAAAGATAGAGTTTGCAGAAGCACTCATTAAGGCAGCATAAAGATAGAAATGTTAGGATTATGGCAAGAAGGGCTTTCTGTTCTTCTGTGAAATAGGGATTTAACTCCCTGGAGGCTGGTAGGGTTCCCCGCTTAGGAATTAAAGCAAAGGCAGTGAGATTTCTCTCTTCTGTAATTGGCAGAAGACACCTGTGACAACAGTGTACAAAAAGATGACATGACAAAATGTGACTTCCCGCACTTAATTAAT